GCCCTCCCGCCTACCTGCCCGGTGACAGCAGGGCCAGCCTCGGGGGGGGGCCCTGAGGTGGCCGCCTCCTGGGCCCCCCCAGGGGAAGAGGCTGGCCCTGTGGGTACATACCGGGTCGCAGGGGCGGCCGGGCCCCCTCGTGGGCCGGGCCCGGTCGCAGTCGCGACCCCTGCGACCCTGGTATGTACGCCACTGGGCGTGGAACTTGTCTCCGGCATCTTGAAGGGGAAGTACCATTTTTTACCTTTGAACTGGCTCTCTATTTATGTCTATTTAATTACTGCCCTATTATGTTCCCTATCAGCTCTCACTTAGCCCTATTTATACCTCCCTCTTTCATCACTTCCTTGCTCTGTAGTGGTCTCTTAACCCGAGAGTGCGTTCTGTTGGTTTGTCTTTTTTGGTATCTGACTTTGGTTTGTTTTCTGGTTATCCGTACTTTTGGCATCCTTGACCCTTGGCTTTTTTATTCGCTTTTTCTTCCATCTCCTATCCTGGCCTTGACTCGTCTGACCTTTCTGTTCTCATCCCTGTACTTTTTCACGTTAAGTCTGGCCATTCAATCTGGTTTTGTGTACCTTTTGAGCCCCTTAGTTTGCGTGCTGGGGAGCTTAACCTTGACAGGGATTACTCAAAGTGTTTTAGAGAGAGACAGCTAAATTCCATCATTATTTTGAGTAATATTTATTATTGTGCTCTAAAAGTGATCTAATTTTTGACAGTTTTCCTCACAATAGATTCCGCTAGTCTGCCCATAAATTTCCATTTCAGAAGACTGACACATTTAGAGTGATGGAAAAAAAATCACTTTACTATTAGAAAAAGTGTCAGAAAGATTAATAAATCCACTGTGTTGAAGAAAAATTGTGTATATTAAAAACTGATGAATATTGATGAATATGATGAATAATGCAGAATATTGGGTAAAAAAATAACAAATGAAAAATTGACAGGGATCCAAAAAGGGGGCACTGAATTCCAAGATAGAGGTAACCACTAGACGTGTACATGGCAAGAAAACTCGGCTTCTCCGAACCGTGTTTTTCCAAAAATAGAAAACTGTTACCAGAAATTCAAAACCCAAATTACAAGAACAAAAAAGGGGCAAAAAATGGGCCAATCAGGGTGCTAAAAAATATAATATTATGTACATGAGGAGCAGTCAAAAGACAATCTATATTTATATAGTAATAATACACATACAGTGTATAAATATATAAATGTCATTTTTTTCCAATGCTTAGTCTAGTTTAGTTTAACTTTTCTTAAACTATATGGCCAAGTATTGACAACTACATTGACAGTCCAATCCATAATGAATAATTATTCCAGCAAATATACAATAGCAGTTCTCTCTTGATCAAAGTAGAATTTAAACATTAGACCAGAATTCTTGTCTAAGTCTTGATAAACCAAAATAAAAAATAACCATTTTTTAAGAACGTTTTGAAAATATTCCTTGCCCCAAGATGCGTGGGATATAATTTCTGGGAAACATCAGCTACACCTCTCTGCTGTGGAAATCCATGTTGTAGAAACATCTCAAGCCTTGAAGGAATTAGTGGGGTCTTAGAAGACCAGGTGACGCTACGCTGAGCTTGTCCACAAGGACAGGAATAGAATCAGCCAAGATAGATCATCTATATACCAAGGCTTCATTACGAACCATTAGCCATATGGACCTCGTTACTTTCATGCTTGAAGTGCAGGTTTTGAAATGTGTGTAGAACATGGTTACTGAGTGACATACTTCATAATAAGCTCCCTACCTGCGGAGTGTTCCATACAATATATTTATTGCTCAACATGCCATGAAAAATTAGGCATCACGTGACTGGCTAGAGGAACACAATGTTTTATTTAATCATAGAGAAGAACTTTCTCTTACATCACTAGTCAATGGTAAGAGTTTTGTCGGGAGACCAAAGAGGTTTTCCTTTATAGGAATACATTTTTGGTCCTTTTAGTTCTCTCTTTTTAATTTAAATTTTTTTTAAATTCATGTTAGTTTTTTAGTTAAACATAGCAAAACATAATTTTTATCATGGGGAACATAATCTTTGTAAATTTTTGGCAATGGGTGGAGCTTGAGCCCAGTTTCTTTTTAGTTGTGTAGCTGATTTACCCTCAATACATTAGTCAATTGAATCCCTCTAAAGGACATACTGCAGAGATAATGGACAGGGGAGATAAAAAATGGAGGCACCCTGGTTCTAAGATCCAGCACAAAGTAGAAAACATAATAAAAAAATATGACAGTGTCACTTTAAAGCTATAATGTGGTGCTTTAATTCTCTCTCAGAGTCTTCTCTACATATCTCGTCACAGAGAAGCTAAAGTAGGCTACCTTCTAGTACTGAAATTTCAGTAGCAATCACTAATTGATGAAACTGAACAGCTAATTGGTTGTTGCAAGTTTCTAATTTGTAAAAATGCCCTTTCAGGAGGAGATTTTTTTAATATTGTGTAACATTTATGGATGATCATACAATTTGAATCATAGACAAACTGCTAAGGGGACTCACTATGCTGTTTTGCTATAAGAATTGAGAGAATCCTACTAGCATGACAGTAGGACTGTAGTTATTGTTTGCAGTTGAGCAGACATAAGGATTCAGTTATTAAGTTGCTGCTGTGAACAACAGGAGTCTGTATTTATGGAAAACCAAAACCTAAACTTGGATGAGCAGATTATAATGGCACACATCAATATAGTGTAACACAAAAATGGGAAAACAGTTGTGTGCAGAAAATGAGTGACAGCTGAGCAAAACCGACTCCACACAAACCAAGATCATAGCATTTACCAAACATGTAAAACACAAATCAATGTGCATAGAATTTTACAAAATATGACCATCACCAAGACTACTGATACTAAAAACAAAGCATGCACAACAGAATGCAATAGACTTGGACATTAGGATCGGTTCGAATGTTTACCGTTTCAATGTAATCACAGACTTTTGAATTGAACATCAACGAACATTTTTTACAACTAAATATTTTGAAAATCAGAATTGTATCAGTTCAGAAATACCAAATTAGTAAGTCCGATATTAAAAAAAAATCTCAAAAATAATAGCTGTATGAATTAGGAATAACTGGAAATTTTCACAGTGTACAAATCTAGTATACAATAATCATACCTCCCAACAATCTCACATTCAGTAGCACTGTCCGAGTTCGGGCCCCTGTAGTTTTTCCATCCGAGGTTGGTTCACCGATGTCTTACTTCTAAGAGAGAGATTATTGGATATTCTAGAAGGAGTGTTAAAGGATACCTGTCATGCCCCAAACAATTTTTCTTGCAAATGTATAGATTAGAAGAAAAACCTATTTAAAAATATTTTTTTTTTCTCACAGCTGCTAGTCAATTCCTTGGGTGAGGCATCGACTGACAAGGGAGTGCAGAAAAAAAACCACATGTTGTGTGGTTGCTATGGAAACTCCCTGGCCGGCGCAGGCACGCTGGCAACTGACGACATTTGACAATGTCACTGACGAAATTTGCCCTATTTGGGGATGCAGGTTGGGCAAATCAGAGAAGAACGGAGGCAGAGCAAAGGAGGAGTGGTGAACAGTCCAGAGGTGGGTGTTATATGAAGAGTGGCACTCTAACGGAGGAAAACTGAGTAAATTATTAAAATTTTACACCGTGTATTTTTGTTATATATGGTGTATTCAATGAATATGGGAACAATTCGAGGTAAATTTAATTATTAATAACAGGTTCACTTTAAGGCTGGAGATGGAAGGAACATTTTGGTCAATGTCCCGGCTGGTGGAAGAGGATGGCTGCAGATGGAAAATGCAAGATGATGTTGGAGAATGATGGGACTATTTTGGAGGAAGGGATATTTAAGTGTGGGACAGAAATTGAACAAGGAGAGTAGTGATGGAGGTAAGAGCAGCAGAAAGAGTTAAAGAACAGCTAATGACAGGGACAGGATGAAGGAGAAAGGAAATAATGTTGGGGAGATTTTTAAAGCAACATCCCATGCTGGACCATCATGATCCTTGAGTCTATTTTCAATCTAATATTAGATTAGTGTTGGTAGATGTTTATTAACTCCTGCAGGTGCCATCACATTTGTAGAAATGTTTATAATGTGATGAAATGTAAAAACACAGAGAATCTATAGGTCTGTAGAGGGCTTACCTTAAGCTAGAAGTCACAAAGCAGGAGAAAAAGCCATCTCATAATAACCCATCCATTACTCTGCTCACTATCGTTATCATATCTTAACCAAGGAAGTCCAGCCTTGCCCCTCAATCCACTGCTCTAATTAATTTCCCATAAATCCCTGACGCTCATTGACAATACATCATGGGAAATTTAATCTCTATATCAGGGCTCAAAATATCACCTCTAGCCTTTTTCCGAGTCACAAAATGGAGGAAAAAATTGCCAGATTATCAATATGGCTGACTAGGATAATTTTCCCAGATCAGTTATTTTTTCCCCTCAGTTTTTCCATCATTTGTTTATCGTTAAATATATTTTGGGGTTTTAACCATGAAATATCATACTTTAGAGAACTGAAATCTGAATTGCAACATTTAAGCAAAGGTTCTGATTTGAAAAAAAAAGCTTCAACTCAGCTGTAGTCAGGGTTTGGGTATTTTTGTCTACATTCTGAAATTTGGTTTCAGTTCTCTGCAATTCAGTATTTAGTGAATACATTCCATGTGTTCAGAAAACCTACATTTCTCTAATTCTTTCACACTGCTGTTTTTTTCCCCTTCCCTTCTTAAATCACACACAGACGTAACCTATTAAACCCAACACCATTATTACACTCTTTTAGGTCTACGCAAGCCATCCGTTCCAGCAGTATGCAGGGAAAAGACGAACCTGGAAGACTTAAATTTCACAGCAGCCATAACACAAGATGAATAGGGCATTGGAACCGCGCTCGGATTAACTATAAACAGCAAGATCCATAGACTGGACTTGAAAAGGTTTGTGCGCAAAGCAAAGTGATGTTTCTCTCTGCGTTCCCAAGAGTACGTCTTGGATCGGAGCCCCCTGAAAGCCGGAAGAGGGACTAAGAGCCAAGACGAGACACTACCTCCTTCTGGGGAGTGAGTTTAGCAATCCCTCCCGTAGTTCTGCATCTTTTCCTTTGTCTCTAGGGCCACCAAGTCTTGCTTCTCATTAAGAAACCAAAAGGCGTTTGAGAACAATAGCTGGACTGCAGTCTGGCCGCAAATATCACCATCCTAAACCTGATATGAATTTACAGCACACAACCAGCCTTAACCCTTTATGTAACGGAAGAGTCAGCAAAGCTGATGCAAATGAGTTTTCCAGCTCAAATATAGCATTTAAATAATTTTACATTTTTTATTATTTCTACTTCTGAGTGTTTTATTATTTATTTGATATGTTTTTATGAAAACCATCATGCAAATTGACAATTTGTGAAATCTGCAATATATAGACACTTTGAGGAAGATGTTACCACCATTGAGGCTGTGTGCAGTGCTACGCCCCCTGCTGGAGAGTGGTGTCATGACTATGGATGTCCAAGTTTTAATGGTCAATGTCTTAAGAATGTGAGATGGTGTTTTGAGAAGTGGGTGGTGTGCAGGCCTGGACTGGCCATCGGGCACACCGGGCAAATGCCCGGTGGGCCGCGGTGGCCATGGGCCGAGGCCGGCAGGGGAGGTCCCAGGATCTCCCCTGCCGGTCTATGCAGGGCTGGCGCTATCCGAGCGCCGGCCCCACTGTTTTCCATGGAGGGCCAGTGGGGAGATCAAAGATCTCCCTCACCGGCCCAAATGCGGCCGCCGGCGGGGAGAGAGGGAGGGAGACAGCTGCCATGGCAACGACCGGATCTCGCGAGAGTGAACTCTAGCCTCACTAGGCTAGAGTTCACTCACCCACGAGGACCACCAGGGAACACTGCCTCCCAGTCCCAGCGTGCCGGACCCCCCCTCCCAGGCTAAAGGTAAGAAGGGAGGGGGGGACATAATGACTGTTTTTTGTTTTGTTTATTTACCCGCCCCCCCTAAACACACACACAATAACATTTAAACAGCACTCTCACACCCATCACACTCTCACACACACAGCACTCTCACACCCATCACACTCTCACACACACAGCACTCTCACACCACTCTCACACCCATCACACACAGCACTCTCACACCCATCACACTCTCACACCCATCACACTCTCACACACACAGCACTCTCACACCACTCTCACACCCATCACACACAGCACTCTCACACCACTCTCACACCCATCACACACAGCACTCTCACACCCATCACACTCTCACACCCATCACACTCTCACACACACAGCACTCTCACACCCATCACACACAGCACTCACACCCATCACACTCTCACACTCACAGCACTCTCTCACACAGCACTCTCACACCCATCACACACTCACACACACACACAGCACTCACACAGCACCTCACACCTATCACACACAGCATCACACCCATCACTCTCACACCCATCACACACACGCCAGAGCACTCACACACACAGCACTCTCACACCCATCACACTCTCACACCCATCACACTCTCACACTCACAGCACTCTCTCACAGAGCACTCTCACACACACACAGCGCTCTCACACACAGCACTCTCACACACAGCACTCTCACAGCACTCACACCCATCACACACAGCACTTTCACACACCCATCACTCTCACACCCATCACTCTCACACCCATCACTCTCACACCCATCACTCACACACATCACACACACACAGCACTCTCTCACAGCACTCTCACACCCATCACACACAGCACTCTCACACCCATCACTCTCACACCCATCACTCACACACATGGCACTCTCACACACATCACACACACACGGTACTCTCACACACATCACACACACACCGCACCCTCACACACGCACATACTGCACCCCTCACATACACACAGAACCCCCCCAACACACTGCACACATACACAATACTTCCAAATATATATATATATATATATATATATATACACACACACACACATACATACTCTGGATCCCCTATACAAACACTAGATTCCTTGTAAGCAAACACATACTACACCCCTAAACACACACACACACACTATAGCCTGTATGCACACACTTGCTATATCCCCAATACACACATTCTCTACAGCCCATAGCCACATATGCATCACATTACACCACAAAAACAACACGACTAAAACCGACCTTATTACACAATACCACACCACGACCAGCTCACTCTACACACACGCAATACCACAAGCAGGCTCCAAACACATGCACAATACTCTTTCCTGACCCTTTTGTCTCCTGGTATCCATTTATAGAGACACCATAGACAAGTTGCAAGGAAACACAGTGCAAGCATGTTATTAAATTTGTTTGCACTGTGCAGTACAAATACAGGACTTTTTTCTCATGCTAGAGCTCTTCAGCAGAGCTCTGCGCATGGTCTGCCCTGGAAGAGCATTGAACCAACATGCTCACTTTGAGAGGAGGCGTGTTTGTCATTGGTGATGACAAAACACACCCTCTCTGCCCCGCCCCCTTCTTAGTGGGCCGCTGTGTTAAAAAAATGCCCGGGCCGAATTTTTCTCCCAGTCCGGCCCTGGTGGTGTGACAGATTGTTGCCCCATCCACATGAAACACAGATTACGGGCTCATTTACAAATTTGTAGCTCATTTTTGCTGGCTAACCCCATCTCCCTAAAATGCTTATCTTTACTTGTAGTAAATAAAATAGTGGATAGTTACCTACTGCAAAAAATGTCACAAGTAGTGAGATAATATCCCAGGCTGCTGAGAGCTAGCAGTATTTTTTCTATGGGAGCCACTAACTGCTACTTAGGGACTCCTTTCTGACTGGTTTCCAACCCCATAGCTACTCATCGCAAACCCCCAAAACTCCCCGCCAGAGATTGGTGTTTAGAGGTGAACAACAGCTACTTTCCTATACGAGATATAGAAACAAAAAAAATCTCGTTCCGATCCTGTCGCTACGTTTTACTGGCCAATCGCCACTTGGCTGTTACTACTTGCCACACAGTGTGACATGCGCATGCTCAGGTGTGGGTTTATGTGATTTTACCAGTAAGCAGCTCTTATGCCAGTGTTTGGTATCTATGTTAACATTATTAACGCTCCAAAAATATAGCAACACGGTTTTAAACCTGGTGTTAACGTGCAGCCACTGCAAGTTTCCCGCTGTTGTTAGAAGCGGCAGTTTATTGCAGTTATTTACCGACGAGGTTGTAAAATGAGCCCATTGATGGCAAATCAATCGCGTGTGCTCTGAGTGTACTTATTTAACCTGTACCTCTGATCTTTTATGATTTAACCTATAACCTATTATAGGTGGTTAGCATTTACAAGTCCAAAGACTGCCCCTGTCTTTCTGATGGTTCTGCAAGCAACCAAGTCCTGGCACCATAAATACTTCACTGGTATGAAGTGGTTATGGTGTCTAGAGTGCTCTTCAATTCCTGATATTCCATAATAAATATATGAATCATTTTGTAAGAGTGCGATAGATCGCTGGCATAGATTCTGGCTATCCTGACATATACTGGAGCTCATCACATACCTATCAAAGGGCAATTAAAAAGAAAAAAACTTGCCCAAGACACAGCACTGCTGAAAGATTATATTTTCCAAAAGCCACAGAAAATATGAAATCATATACATATGATGTTACAGCTCTCCCCATGTATTGCATTGTAATGAATGCTAACAACAATGCTATATTGTTTACTTTATGAATTGTACATGTTTTCTGTTGATTTATGTTCATTGAGTCAGATGTTAATCTGCATGAGGTTTGGCAATCATATGTTTCGCTACATGAACAACGTCGTGGAGGAACTGCAGATTCAGGAATTGTATATTTTCATTGTTTAGTGTATTTGTTGCATGGGTGTTTTTTTAATTGGTCTATAATGACTATAGATTTTTTTTTTTTACTTTTTCTTTAAATTGAACCACCACCAGCAGAGCTCACTAAAGAGCATACATTATCGGATGTTGTTGAATCGTCAGCTGATTAGCCAACGCTGCTGTTGAACTTAAAGGGGCACTATAGTCACCTGAACAACTACAGCTTAATGCGGTTGTTCAGGTGAGATCTATAGCTCCCTGTAGGCAATCTAATGTAAACACTATATTTTCAGAGAAAATACAGTGTTTATAATGATTGATAGGAATACCTCCAGTGGCCGTCACTCAGACGGCCACCAGAGGGACTTCCTATCATGTAGGGCCCTAAAAAGGCCATGTACACGTCAGACATTTCAAAATACGTCTGACGTGTGCAGGAGAGAGAAGGCACTGTGTGCGCGCCTTCTCTCTCCTGCCTGTCAGCAGAGGAGAGGGGACGGGCAAAGACTGTGCGCTGAGCTGTCAGTCAACTCAGCTCACGGCCACGCACACCGCGCGCATCCCCGGTAGTGCACTCAGGACTTCATAGGGCGGCATGAATGCCGTCCTATGAAGTATGTACACATGTGCAGCAAAGCCTCGCAAGCGGACAAGGGAGCAATGACGCTTCCGAATGGAAGTGTCTGATTGCTCCCTGTTTGCGCCCGCCTATTTCATCATTTTGACGAAATAGGGGGCGCGGCTTCACGAGGCTCCCGGCGCTGGAACGAGGTGAGTAAAAAGGGCTGCCTGGAGTGTCCCTTTAATGGTTGATGGCTACAGGATGCTTCTGAATATAAATAGCGTTTAATTTTGAAATAAAATATTATGCTAAATTCATTAAAAGGAATCTGGAAAAATTATTTCTGAAATGTATTTAAATTTCAAAATGTTGGGTTTGTATAATTATTAACTATTTGTACACCACGGGGATTAAGAAAACTAACTAAAGATTGACTGGCTGTTTCAGTTTGATATAACATATATCCCATATATCATGGGACGGCGCCTTGTTGCTGGAAGTTGTATTGCAGAAGCAGGTTTCAGAGTGCTGCTGATAGGGTTTATTCGCTCAATAGTATAATGTAATGAATTGAGAACCATATTGCAAAATCTAAGAAAAATTCTTCAAATTAACTATAGTTACATCCCAGCTACTTTAGTCTAAATTTAAAAAACTCACTACAAATTGATGTTTACTACATGTTTACTACAATTTGATGTTTATCTTGCAGCTCCGTCAGGTTCCTCTTGCGAGGTTGCACACACAGCACCCTCACACACACACACACACACAGCACCCTCACTCACACAAAGCACCCTCACACACACACACACACACACAGCACCCTCACTCA